ATCCAGGTCCCCATGTCGTCTGTCTATCCACGAGTGGATGTCCGAAAAAAGTCCTGTAAGTTCAACGTGTTTTTGATGAGGATTGACACCGCTGTTGTCAAATTCTCTGTTCCTCTTCTCTGGCTTTACCGATACTAATACAACTGATATAATCGCACGGGTGGCAGGACCGCATATCAAGCTTTACAAGCAATTTCCTTCAACCCACCTGAATTGGCTAAGCTTAAATAAAGGATACTATATTCTGCCAACGTTTGTGGTTGCTTTCGGGTGAATATACCCACCAGGCGTGAATAGAGAAGAGGTTTAGTAGGGAAGGAGGATACCTATATCTATACCGACGGTTTCAAAACGGACTGCGGAGTCAGATTCGTCAGTTACTAGTCGAAATCCCAACGAGTCATCAATTGAACTCAACGGATGAACCATCTGAGACGCGATCAACATTTGAAAGAGATAACTTTTAAAAACCTTGAATAAACATTACCCATTAAATTTGATGTCTCCGTGTTATTTCTTTAAAATAGTAGGGAACCTCTAAATGAATCGCCGTTTACATACATACCATATATGGGCTATACAACGAATCAAATGCACCCCAATGCATAAAAGTGCTGAAATTAAGAAATTTCACCCAAAATCATTCGCACCCCCTCTACCTGGAACAAGCCACAAACGCTTTCCGGCGCTGTTATTCAATACGCGCAATAAACGCCTAGAAATAAAAACGACCGCGGCAAGGGCGCTGAGCTGTGCGGTGTACACTAATAACACGCTGCCAACCAGAAACAACAACAATTGTAAAATATTTATTACACTCAAATATTATGATCGGTATTGAACACTCGTTCTACAACACAATTGCAACTCATGCACTTGACGTACGCTGCGCCCTGCACACTGTGCCTTGCAGCCCAGCCACCACACTCACCACTCGACATTTGGCAGGCGAGCGGCTGCTGGAGCGATGATTGTTTTATTGTGCAGCCTTCGCAGCGAAAGGCCAAAAATAGCTGCAACAGCAGCAGCAGCAGGGGTAGGCGGCAACAAGTAATGCTGAATCGATCAGGCATTTGTTGCCTGCTTGACTGCTGACTGGCCTGCCGCGCCGCACATTTGATTCGATGACTAAAAATAGAAGAACCAAATCTTAAGGCAGCAGAAAGACGGAAATCGAAGGCAGCAGCGATGGAAATAAATATGGTAGGGGCGGCGCGCGGCCGGTTAACACAAGTAATTTTATTTTATATAAACAATGCCGAAAAGCAAAAACAAAAAAAAAAACACAGAAACGCAACAACAACAGCAGCACAGCGAAAATATTCAGATGTTCGAATGCCGGGCGTAAGAATGCCACACACGCAAAATTGCTCATACACACAAATGTATGCATATATATGTTGAATTACAGCATTTATTGTATACTGTTGTTGTTGCCTAGAAGAATTTCATCAAAGCAACTCAATGTATTTGCTCAAAAAGGCGTGGAAAGGAGATCGATGATTTAATTATTTCGAACGAAAGAGTAAATAAACTCAAGCGCATAGTTTCAGGAAGGTGGGAAGGGTGGTGGTATAAATCAGCACGTACCATTTGAATACACAACCAGAAAAGGGCGTTAATTTCGGCTACACTGAAGCCATCAAATCATTCACAGGTGCATTTTTTATAGCATAAGAGCTTTGGCTTGATTATGAACACATAGTTTGTATGGCAGCTATATGCTATAGTTGATCAATCTGAAGAATTTTTTAGAAGACTGTAGCAATGCCTTAACTAATAATCTATGCCGAATTTCGTGAAGATAATTTGTCACATAAACAAGTTTTCCGTTTGCCGTATAAGGACTTGACTTTGATCGGTCAGTTTGTATGTCAGCTAAATGCTATAGTTGTCCGATATGGATAGTTCCAACAAATGAGCAGCTTCTTGGTGAGAAAAGGAAAAGTTTGCTTATGTATAGACGAACAGATAGACGCACGAACATGACTAATCTGACTCAGCTTGTATATATATTTTATATGTTTTATGCTTTATAGGGTCTTCTGGGGCGTTACAAGCATCGAACTTAGTATACCATGTTCAGGGTATGAAAACTACTACACATTAATTATAAACACTTACTACAGGTTAGATGAGGTCAGGTTAATCGGTCAATTCTAACAGGGATTTAACTTGCATAGCTTAGAACAGCGGTTCGTGGTGTTACCTGAAACTCATACCTACTACATCATATGAGTAGGAACCCTTGCTAAGAACTTTGCTGATTACAAGTAATTCAGAAGATCTAATACGTTCTACTCTGGGCCAAGAGGATCATGCAGTTGAACAGGACAGCTGAACGCAAGCGAGGTTCAATGGTCCAGTGCGAAAACGCAAGTTGTCGGAAAGCTTATTTCAGAAAATTCCCACATCAAACTTCCCTCTTAGTTATAATCCATTCGTGAAAAAGTTCACTGCGCCTCTTCTCCAGCGACTCCTCCCCATTCACGTATCACTTGTTGGTATGTGAGCTACGAAAAAGGCGTCAAGAAAGTCCTTGCCGTGCAGTGGCTAAAGATTTTAGGAACGCAGTTAAAGGAGCAGAGAATTTCAGTGCGTAATTATTCAGATTATTTCATATGTTCAACTTAGTTCGCATTGACGGATTCCTCGTCGGTATGTGAGCTGCCGGAAATCGTGACATTCGTTTTTTGAACACGCTAATTTAGACTAAATAGACATCTCATTAGACTCATTGGGCTAATACACCATACAATTGGCTAATCTATAGTTTCGTAGAGCCAAAATACCAACTTTGGTTAGACTTCCCATATTTTTCTTACAACAGTATAATGTAACGTAAATGATGGCTTTCGCACTTTTTCCTCAGTGTTTCGCCTCCATGAAAGCTATCTGTCAAGGATGAGCCCTACGTATATTACATTATCAACACGTTGAAGACGTTAACGTCCAAAAGCAGGGAGTGACACTTTTTGGATCTTATACCTCCTGATAAATAAAACCATGTGTCTTCGCCCAGTTCGTATACGGCTTTTAGAACCTTTCCTTTATTCATAAGAAATGCCGTCGGCCCAGACTTTCACCGACCGCGTTCTTCCCAGAATTCTTTAAGCATGAATTTACTACTAAGAATCAAATCAGTGGCCGAAATATCGCACCGTGCTTAGTGTTCCTGTTAATTTTTCGGGATGTCTTTACACTACACCACTTCGCCATGACCGTTCTGTTGAAGAAAAGTCTATTTATGAGGTACTTGAGGTTCGATTTCATCTTAAACTTTTCAAGGGCTTTAATCACCGAATGCGCCGCATCTTCGCGATGCCGAGAAAGGTGCCTACAGCAAAAGCACTTATCTTGATTGAATGAAAAATCCGGGTCCGTTCCGGTTAGGTAGACCCGACTGACGTGGGAGCGCCTCACAATACTTGCTTCTGTGAATACTGAGTCTTGTCTAATCGTGTAATTCTAGGATTTTTTAAGTCTAATTAGTACATAATTTTAACCCAAACTTAGATTTCTACCGACAGCGGGGGTTATTTTCACTGGAGATGTGGGTATTTTCTTTCAATAAAGAGAATCTTTCTTTCCTAAAAAACTAATGCTAAAAAGGCTATTGATTTTGTGTGGTTTTGTAGTAGGTGCCTATAATACTCAGGGCAGGTTGGCTTTGCTGAAAAAGTGACGAGTGCTTCCGGAGCAATCCCAAGAACAAGACTCTTTGTGGAATTTTCTCAAAACACCAGGAAGGCTATAATGTACTATTGGTTCACGTGCAAAAGTAAAGAACTCGGCGGGAGGTCCGGCTGATTATACAATTATGAATCTTATGTAACCAAATTATTTTTTAATTGCCTTCTGGGACATTTGCAAAAAAAAGAATTTTTTTAAATTAAAAAAAAAAAATTAAAATAAAATCACATAAATTTTGCATTCCACGAAAATTGTTGCAAATTAATTCTTAATCATTACACAAACCGCCTGCCAACACTTGACTGCCACTTACCTTGTTTAGTTACATCGTCAGAAGTTCAGCGACACTAGGCTCCACCAGCTGTGATTTCCCGAAGAAATGGCGCAAAAAAATGCCATAACTCAGCAATCTGTAACACAAAATGTATGATTCTTGTACGCAACGCCATTCTGTTCTTGTGGTTGGCTTTCCTTTTTTCCTTCTTGTAGTTTTTGCCTTTACAAGTATATTGTTTTTCTTGCTACTTGTTCGGTTGCTGACGCTGATTGCGTATGACTCTTCGGCAGCGTTGCGAGAAGACGTGCAGATGCGTCAATTACGGCACACTGAAGAGTCATTTCTCAAATTGTTTGCGATCTTTTGAAGCTTTGTCAGTTGGAGCGATTGGAAACATGTGTAAGAAAGAGAATGCGCTCAGTTTTTTTTTTTGAATATTTAGTATATATTGAGATTTCGAATGATGCAATATTGGGTAGTCGAAAAAAGTCTTTTCGTATTGCTAATCAAACTTCAACTTATTTCTACATCTACATATATATATCTATCTAATACGAAAATACTTTTTCGACTACCCAATATATCAGTTAGTATGCCGAGGACGAAAGAAAAAGCTACTAACTTTCAAAGAAGACAACTAACTTTGGGTTCGTTCGAAAACGGTAGTGATTATATAGTGATCTACAAATTCAAGTGCCTGGTAATAATCAAATTATCTACCTCCCTCCAGCAATTCAATGATATTCAGTCGTCAGATATTACAACAACAAAATTTTGCTTAACAAAGTGCCAAGAATTTCTCTCAGCGCATAATTTGGCCAAACAAAAGTCAAAGTCAGTTTAAAGACTTAAAGAAGAACTGCATTTAAGCGCAATTAAGCGATGCTAAAGTGCCAAAATGGATGCTAAAAATAAAGCTTATTGCATTGTATGCCGAAAAAATTATGTACGTGCGTTCTTTTGTACTTTCTTCACACAGCAAACTGGGTATAAAAATTGTGTGAGCTGCGTTCTTCAGCATATTTGTTAAGCCAGAGGCAAGCGAGCAACAACCAAGGCGTGAAACTCAAAAATGTTCCGATACGTTAGTAAAGATTTCTTCAAAAATAGACAACATTATCTTAAATTAACTCTAAATCCAAAAAATAATCTCTTCCACAGATCTCTTTTGCAGCATTGCTCGCCGTTGCGTATGCCGCACCCGTCGATGAGCAGGTGATGGTTACCGAACCCATTATGGAGCAGCGCGCTTACCCCATGGACAACATGGCAGCGGTTGTTGCGCCAGAGATGGAAATGGAACCACGTGTACCCGTTATCGGCATCATGGATGCTGCACTGCAGCAATCCACCGACGGCGCCTATAATTTCCATTATCGCGGCGAGGATGGCTCGTTCCGACAGGAGAGCGCTGTAGTCATCAACCCCGGCACCGAATATCAGTATCTGAAGATCAGTGGCAGCTATTCGTACTTCGACGCCAACGGCAAAGAGGTGGTGGTGCATTATAGTGCCGACGATCGCGGCTTCGTGCCCGAGGGCAATAACATAATGCCGCAGATTTCGTCGGCGGCGAAGATGAACAGCCAACTGCCGCGTGTGGTGGAGAAGCCGAGACCACAAGAGCAACAAGTTGAGAATGTACCGAATGTATCACATGTTTCACAAGCTCAGCATGTTTCACAAGTTCCGCATGTTTCACAAGCTCAGCATGTTTCGCAAGCTCCGCATATTTCGCAAGTTGCGCATGTTTCGAAAGTACCAGTTATGGGCAGCGTTTGGAATGGTCAAATTATGCAGGTGTAAGCGCTGACAAGTTGTTTACTTTTGTAAATTCGAATTTGGTTAAGCGATAAATTATGGCATGCATGCTTTAGGTGTGCACCCTTGTGTTTTTTTTTATATTATTTTTGTATTATTTTTTTATGTTTCTGTTTAAGTTGATTTTAGCATCTTCTTGTATTGCTGCAAATGAGAATAAAAAGACTTTTCACCACGATCGCTTGCTTTGTTCACTATCCGTTGCATACCTTTAGGCGCTGTGATCGGTATAAACTTGGTTTTGACACAGAACAGAAAAGACGTTATCTGGTTAAGGGTACTTTAGCACAGATTTGAAATAGTCGCAAACTAAATTGACTAATCACATCAGTGGCGGATCAAGGGAGGAGGTATTAAGTATCACAATCGCCTAAAGTAGGAGTTCTAAATTTAAATTTAGAATAATTTACGCGATCACAGCAAAAATAAGTTAGAAGGAAAAACCCTTCAGAAAAAGATTCCGGATCAGCTACTGAATCACCATAGAAATTCAAATAGTACTAATCGGCTAAATATTACAGTGGCGGATCCAGGGGGGATTTTTGGTGTCAAAATATAGTGCGCGTATTAAAAATAGGTTAGAAGGAAATTCCGGATCCACTACTGAACTATAGAAACAAAAAATAATCGACTAATTATTACAAGGGCGGAACCAGAGGGGATTTTTGGTGTCGAATCATCTCAAAAATCGAAGATTTTAGTTTAACGTTTGAATAATTTACCAAGTAAAAACAATATTAAAAATGTGTTGTAAGGAGAAACCCACCCCCATAAAGACATTCTGAATCTAGTTGGTAGTGAGTGTAAAAACAACACCCTAAATTTGAAGATTTTAAATCAAATTTAGAAGAATATACGAAGTAACAACGAGTTTAAAAAAATATTGGAAATAGCCTCTTCATCTATCAGAAGACATTATAGATCCGGGGGTTTTGGGGGTCACAAACCCCTTTACATCGAAGACCTTAATTCAAATTTAAAAGCGTTTGCCGACACCCCGACCCCCTAGAAAGAAACTCTGGATACGCCACTGTTTCACTACTAATACGCCAATAAACGTTTTTCTTGATTATTTTTATTTATTACAACTAATAAAAAATATCGGGTAAACTAAATATACATACATACAATATTGTATCTAAATTTTGCTAGAAACTACAAGCAATACAGGCAACCTAGAGAAACTTCGTAAGCTTAAGGATACTACAAAAGGCAACTAACTAATGTATATTTGTCTTGTAAGCTACAAACAACGTTATACACACATACACATATATTGATAAAACAAAAACAAAAGGGAAAAAAATTAAAAAGAAGACGCGCTCAAGCGCCGACTTACATTACTGGGTGAATTTTGCTTCAAGGAGGGCAAAATGTCGATCATTTGTAGGACTTATTACAGCTACGACCATATAAATATGTTTAATTATTTAAATATATAACTTTTACTATATTTTTAAACCAATATTGTAAATGTTTTGTGTTTTTTAACTTCAAAATGTCATTTCTTCAGCAGACAAGGCTGGCAACGCTGCGCAAACTCAGCGCAAATGTTTGAAGTACTTTAAGTTGCAGTATATTACAGTGCAAATTTATTTTTTGGACGCACCCAGACTGCCACCAACGTTATTGCACAGGCTAGTGCTCAAAAGATGAGCACCTGCGCTGCCTGGTGGTGGCGAGCTGAGCTGCTGGCGAAAGTTGCCCACGCCCATGGGCTTGCGCTGCTTGATGCGTTGTTGTAGCGTGTGCAGCAGGCCGGAGAGCACATCGTGATTGGGTATCTTTTTCGCGAAGAGCAAGCGCTTGACGGAGTCGTCATAAGTTAGCAGAGCGACCATATTCTGCAGCAAGAAACCTTGGCAGTACTCGAGCAGCTTGTTGGCGTTGTAGACCTGCATGGAGACAATGCGTTATTATTTATACATTAACCACCATTTTATAAGCGTTACCTTCGCGTGTATGTACATGGCCACCACATTGTCGATGTCGATCATCTCCGAGCAGCGTGACTCGGTGTAGCGCAGCAAACCTTCCAGTTGGAAGAAGCTCGCCGCCGCCATCAGCTCCAACACATCAGCGTTACTGACCTCCAATGTGGCACAGCCACCGCTGTACAAATAGTGCATGATCAGCTGGAAGATGTGGTAGCGTATGTCGTTTATCTGCACTGTGGGCGTGTTTCCATCGCTCAGCTTGGAGCTGAGCATGCTTTGGAAACGCGGCGAGGCGGTGACGAGCACTATTTTGTGGCCATAGAATATTTTGCCTTCCACCCTGTAAGTTTATAGTTAACATTAGGTTAGAAAGTAGGTAACATTAGGTTAGCAAACAGGTAACGTTGAGTTAGAGAGCAGGTAACATTAGGTTAGCATGCAGATAACATTAGTTAGCAAGCAGGTAGCAATAGGAATGCAAGCAGTTAACATTAGGTTAGCATTTGATGTCTGAATACCTGAATGTTACATCGCTCAGTTCTGGATTGTTGACAAATTTGGGGTCTATGCGCGAGCTGTTCACCGATTGCATGACCGCCTCTTTGATGGGTTTGATGGTTTCCCAGCCGAAGCAAGTGGCGAAAATGTCGGCCAGCAGCAGTGTTGTGCCCTCATTTTTGCTAAAACGAAATATGTTGAAGAGCAGCGGCAGGCACTCGCTCACGAACTGCGCGCTGTAGTCGTCCGGACAGACTTGCAAGAAATCCTGCAGCAGTTGATCGATAACAGCATCCAAGCGCAGCTCATGCGCCGCCGCCAATGCGTGCATCCAACAGTGCAGAGTCCAGGGCACGCCCAACGTGCGCAGCTCTATTGTAATATCTGTTTGAAGAGAGAGTTATTAACAGCTGTTTAAATAAGAGTGTGTAAGAATTACTCACCAAGATGATTGTTTTCGGCGCTGTGATACATTGCCTCCTGCAGACTTTTGATTTGTGTCTTGTTTAATGTGAGCGGCAGCTCGGCGCTTATGCGCTCACCCCCTGCATTCGTCGCGCATGCGCCACCACGCGTCGCATTACCTACAGGTTCACCTTCGGCTAGCATTTCCTCGAGCGAAAGCACGTCTTTGCTGCCCGGCGACATTGGATGTGAGAGCAGTTTGCGCAGACAAGCGCGCTGACCGTGCGCTGCAGTCACAGAGATGGCGCAATACGAGCCGCGCTGCGCTGAGCCACCAGCAAAACACATTGTGTCTTTCTGCTGCGTAGAGAGAAATGCGTTGGCGCCATGCGCTAGCAGCAACGAAATAACCTCGACATTGCCAGAACCGCATGCCACTTGCAGTGGCGTCAGCGTTGGTTTCTCTTCACTTAGACGCGCACCACCTTCAACCTTGCCACCGCGTTCCAGCAGCAGACGCAAGGCCAAGTAATTGGCGCGACTGGCGGCGAATGTCACTGCCGTCCAGTGCTGCGTATCTGGATGTACACCCGGAAAATTCGGTTGACCAACTGGTGGCACCTCCATATTTGGATCGCAGCCGGCATCGAGTAGCGCCTGTATGGCCACCTCGTCATTGCGTATTGCTGCAATCATAAGCGCCGTTAAACCGGCGTGATTCAGTGTGTCATAACGCGTGGTGGGCGGCAATAGGTTGGCCGCCTGCGCCATTAATTCAGCGCGTCCAGTAAGCATGAGTTTGAAAGCAAGCGTGATGGTGGCGCGCTTGCCCAACTCCGTGGTATCTTCACTGATACCCGATGCTAAGGGCGTAGTCGTACCGGGGTGTGAGAAATGTGTCTTCTTTGTGGGTAACTCCTCTTCGTGCCCAATTGGACGCATTGGACAGTCTACGCCTGGTAAAAGTAGACGCGCTGCTTGCATGATATCGTCCTTATCTATCATGACAGCGTGTCGGTATTCCGCGTGCGCTGAAGCCACACGCAACCATTCCACCAATGGTGGCAGCACCACATATGCACGTTCATAGCATAGTTCTTGCACATTTTGACTGCTGCCGCCCGCGCTACCGCTGGCGCTTGAAGGCGCGCCACTTAAGTCGCTGTGTTCCAGCTGTGAGCAGCGCATAAAGTAGAAGAGTGTGGAGAGGGCCGCATTGGAGAGAGCTGTGTGTTGAAATTTTTGTTGAGCACGCAGAGTCAAGTCTTTCAGTTCGGTTATGCTGCCAACGCAGGTCGTTAGCAGACAAGGTTCCAGCGAGACATTGCTATTGCCGCCCGAACTGCCGCTTTTTTGTGTGCCTGAACCAAGTGATGATAGACTTGCCCATCTTGGCATGGTGAGCGCACCGGATGCTACGCGTCCGGCATTCAAGTGCGCGAAAGGCTGCAAAAGACCCCACAGGTCACCGGAGTGCGCGATAGACTGATCCAGCGTCGCTGTGGTGAATTGGCTGGCTGAATCTGCAGGAAAGCTTTGCAACAGCAACTCCTCGAGCAGGTTTTCCATGCCAGCACATAAGTACACTGCCGCGTATTCGTGTATAAATTTGCCGAGACGCGCGTCGGCCATCCAACGATGAAAGCGCCCTACGGGTAGTTGTAGACCAGCGCGTGCGGACTTGCTTTGCTTGAGCGCGCTGTCGCCTGTTACAGCGAACATCGCAGCGGCGCGTAAACACGCTTTAATACAAGAGTCCGCCAGTGCCGGACACAGTACAATCTTGTATGCGGTTGCGACTTCTTGTTTTGAACACAATCCCAAGCAGGCGGAGAGGCGCTGCACTTCGCGCGCAATACGCACCAATGCACGTTGCAGCAGATAACCTAAGCGCGGTATGGTGTCGACTGAAACGCGTTCTGCCTGCTCCTTGCAACGACCATTACGAATGACGCGCATTATACAGTGTTGGCTCCACGGTGGATGTTGCAACTCCACCAAGCGATTATGTGAGTCCACCCATACAAACTCATCGGCGTTCGTCACATTTGTATTAACTGTCTCCAGTGACGAGTAGCGTCCTAAGCGTCGCGCGGGCTCCGAGCTCTCCGAACCAGCACTGAGGCTGCTATAAGTGCTGGTGCTCGTTTGCGAACGCATTGTCAGCTGTTGTATGGCCAATTTTATATCCTCCAAACCGCTGCCGCTCCATGGCGCCTTCGTCGCCGGTGTGGCGCGATGACGCGCTCGCGAATGATTTGTGCTTGTGCGTGAACGCGTGCTGCGATTGGTGACGGCGGCGGCTAGACGATCTTCCGGCAACGGGCCCAGCGCTATGCCACCACCAGGTGAGGAACTACCATGGCCGCCGGTATCCGACATACTCGCATGGCCCGATGAGCGATTCTCATCCGACGAGCTATGACACTCCTGCACACGCTGCAGCGCGCGAAATTCATGATGGTGAGTGCGCGTGCTTGTCGCGCCTGACTTTGCATGCGTATTGTGCTGATAGCCGCCACCACTGGGCGTTACATGCGCAGAGTTTGCATCAGCTGTTGGTATGCCGATGCTGCAATTACTCAAATCTAATGATAATGGCAGCGGACGCTTGTCATTGGCGCTGAACTTTTGTTGCACTGCCGCCGGCTGTTGCGGCTGCGGTTGTTGCGGCGACAGATTGCCGCTCAGCATGGGCGGCTGCGATTTGACTGGCGTACTTTGCACCGTTAGACGCGCTGGTGCCGCCAAGGTGCGTTGCGGCGGCGGTTTGCTAGGCGCTTGGGGCGGACTGCTTATACTTCGTATATTGATTGTGGTATTCGACACGACGCTCTGTCCGTTTGGTGAATTGACCAACATATTGGGCGCGCCGCTATTAAAGCGCTGCGCCAACTCTTTGGAGATGCGTGGCGCCGGTGTTGCCACAGCGGGGCTTTGTATGCGCCCGGTGGAGGAACTCAAACCATTTGGTGTGTTGAGCGGCGTGGAGTTGGCGGTCATTGTGGTGCCAGTGGATGGCGTCGCAGGCATGGCGCTCATTTGGTTTTGTTGTGGCAATGCGCTTGTTGTTGTTGGCGAGCCGACGGGACAATGTAGTTGCGAGTTCGTTGGCTGCGGGCTGAATACGACGGGCATGTCGCCGCGCATGTTGCCGGTTGGTCTGTGGAAGAGAAAGAACGTAGACTAATTAGACAGTGCAAGATAAGCTTGTGTTGGTGTTCTTAAGTCAAATAAGTGAAAACGCGCTCAAACGACAGCTGACTACTGACAACTGACAACTGACAGACGTAGCATTGCATTTCTGTGCTTTGCAAACTGCCTGCTTGCCGGTTTGTCAGCTTCCTTCAACGCGTCAAAACAGTTACACATAATTAAGCTGCTTAGTTGCTTATGGCTTCCAACAACTGCCAAGTCACTAAGTCAAATGTCAGAATGCTTAACAACAATAAATAAATCCATTAAAACAACACTCAAACAGAGTTTATGTTCTGGCAACTTGAAGCGCTTTCTTTTTCCTACATATTTTATCTACGCCTTTCAGCTCTGCGCTCAACGCTTAGGCTGACAGTTGTATAAGCTGTTGCGTCTTAGACATCAGCGCTGTCCCCACTGGGCACCGGGTTAATGCCGTCACTCAATTACCGCTAAGCCGCAGCGCAAATTCTTGGTCACTCTGAATTGAAACGCGCTTTCAGCTTTTGATTATAAATTTGCTGAAGACAAACGCTCCCTTTATTTTTTATTCGTCAACAAATCGCCTTAACGAACATTATGCACGCGCGACAGCGCAAGAACCGAAAGACCATAGAAATTTGCATAAGAATACAAATAGCGGTAGAATTGTTGTAAGAATCAATGAAAGCAACAAAGTTCAACAACGAAAATTTAATAACAGCGCTGTATGTGAATAAATGTCATAACTGTTAAGCACCGCGGCCGGACGCGCTCAATGCCGCTAACAATGAAAACAAAATCATTCAATTTATTGTGCTTGTTATTGTTGTAGCCATCATCAGCGCCTTATTTGCATTCGAAGAGCTGTAAACGCGCCAACAAAGCGCTAAACGGAAACCAACAATAGCAACTAAAGTGTGAATACAAAGCTCTGCAGCGCATGCGCCCAGACAAACAGACAATTAACAGCAATAAATTGTTGTAATTGTTGTGTTTGTCGGCCTTTGCCTTACATTGTTGTAAATTACACACATTTTGCCGCTTAAATTGTAATGAATTTCGGAAGAAGACGTAGCACGCAATAAAACTGAATACTTCTTGTTTTAGCAGTCGCTGCCTAAGAATCTCCGTATCAGAATTGCTGGCACACTTTTATTGTTTGGCATAAAAAATCTCCAAAAATAAGTCTTTGTTTGGGCGAAAATGGGTCAGGAATGCTAGTAAAATTTCATACCCTGACGTAAGGGCGATCGTAAAAGATCCAGTGAGCTGTTGTTGTACTGGTACAAAGCTGAAAGCTGAAATAAAGTTGACAAATGTTTGGCGAATTGGCGTATAAAATTCCGGGTTCGTTCCGGTTTCATAGACCCTATTGCTGTGGAAGCGATATGGGTACAGCGATTCGTGAGCTCATCACTCTAAGTATGACTAGCCACCCCTTCGTTGTGAGTGTTCTAACAGTCAATGCTTGACCGGTTAAAAATACGAACCCGAACCGGTAACGTAGAGCCGACTGTCTTGCGAATTATATGGACATAGCGACTCGTGAGCTCTTCGCCCTCAGTAAAGCCAACCTCTATAGTTATAGAGCTCTAACCGAACATTGCCCTATCGGCGTCCATTTCGTAAGGTTGAGAGTCTTACCGGAATCTTTACAGCTGTCTGCAGTAGAATGTATGTAGGAAGACGAGAAGGAAATGAGGTTTGCGCTTAAACACTTGGTGGTTTCGGTTTTATAGACCCTACTGCAGCACAAGCACACAGCAACTTGTGAGATCTTCGTCTTCAGTAAGGCTAGCCTCGCCCTAGTTGTGAGTGTTGTAACAGGCCATTGCTCTATCGCCGTCTAAACTGTAAGGCTGATAATTACCGGAATCTTTCTAGCTGCAGAAGTTATAAAGATCCCAGTTTCAGTAAAGGAATAAGTGAAATTGGCGGAATGCAGAGCATGCGCAGAGAATGATGAGACGCTGGAACAGCCTTCAGCCGAATGAGGCGGTACAAATTCCATGACTCGCAATGCTACAAATTAAAAATTGTGCGAGACGCTTGTAACATCCAATCCCTTTATCAATGTTTAGCCTTGTGTTTTACAGAATTCGAAAGCAAGGATTGCCGTAACCCAACACTAACTTGACCCGCTTACTTTTCCGTCCAATGTCACACTGTGGCTACAGCTCTCAGCGACAGGGTCTTTGACCATTCACGCACTTACAACTCTGATAAAGACGTACGCACTGCATTTACCATATAAAATTAATACGAATATTATCGGTGAGCGAGTGTTTATGTGTGCGACGAATCTGTAAGATTCATGAATAATATAAATCATAATTGAGTTCACCTTGAAGGCGAACATTGAGCAAGATTTTGCAAAAGCCATTGAGTTTTTCCATTAAACGGAAGCTGGCTGTCAAATGAAGTAGTAGTAAAAGTGTTTGCTAATCAACCAACGATCACATGCACGAAGGCCTTTGCGGCCGATCGCGTGAATATCTTCATCAGTCTGGTTATTATGTGTAACAAAGGGAGGGAGTTCGTTCGTGTGCAGTTGAAAAAGCGCAAATTGGCTGAGAGCGGTTTGCAATAGCGGACGTCACGAACGTGATAGACGAATACAGCCACAGACACATATGTATATATATATTATATAGTATTATATATATAGATTTGAGCTGGAGCAATGTGTACTGGCGGTCTCTATGGTATGTATTCATTGCCAATTTATTTTATTTTGTTACTTTATATTTATTATTCGAAAAAACTTTTAGTCAGCTACTGAAAGTGTTGAAATTTTAATTACTTTATAATTATAGCTTCTGCTAATTACTTATAGTTTTACGAATTATTTTTTTCGAGCAAGCAGACTAACAATAAACTGAAACTACATTTTTTATTAGAAATATGTAGTTCTCAATTTTAATATTAAGGGGGTTCTGTGAGAAAATTTTTTGTAAAGTGACGTTAGCACGCAAGGCTTTAACAAAGTATCGAAATTTCTTAAGTTGACTTTAGTTAGGTGTTAGACGTGGATGTTAGGCGACGCTTCAAGTTTTCTGAATACTTCAGTATCTGCTAGACCGGAAAAAATATAAAGAAGATCAATCAAGAGAAGTAATAATCTCGCAACACATTAAAAGCAGGGGAATATTAGATGCAGTGGCTGCCAGAAAATCGCTGAATATAAGACTGAGTTCTAGGCCATAAAGGAATAGCTGAAGCGAAAAGTTCCGTCTGCCACAGAACCAATGCACTTACTTTTCGTAAGACACTAAAAAAATATATACAATGAAGTTCCGGAAAGGGCTAGTAGACGGATCAGGATGATAAATAATGCCTGAGGGATCGCAAGATCATGTGCAAGAGTTCCGAAAGTACAAGCATGCTTTTCATTCACATGGTTTCGAAAGTACTGCAAGACGGCTGTTGGCCTAATATAATTATCGTTAAAAATAAAAAAAAGATCATAAAAGAAAATTGCTTTAAAGTTATTATTATAAACGATTAGATTTACAAGAAAATCATAAGAGATCATTAAATAAAGCATTCACTTTCCTACAAAATCTATATTTTCAATAGTTGAAAGCGAGTTAAGAATTTTCCTAACTGATGGTAAGAAGCAAAAGGGAAATATGTAACCTTCCAGTTACAATTAAACGTGGAGGTACCAAAGTACTTATTTCCATTGGAACAAGCGAAAAAATATTTGTTTTTGTTTTTGTACCCACCTTAATATACGTACACATATATTACTCATTTCTCTTGTATTACTGTGGGCAAAAAATAATAAAACTTTCTTCACCGTTTGTGTACTTCAGAAAGACAAGCATATACTAAACACTCATTATTAATTATTTTGATGTGACGTTTGGCATAGAAGTCACTGAGAGTCAGAATAACCTAGAATAAAATATACATCGACCAATGGATTCTTTTAAATTAAAAGAAAAGAAAAAAGTCTTACTACTTTTTGTCCACAGTAAGAAAAAAATATATGAAAGTCATAATACCATTAAGGAAAATATGGGTACTTGCAATTGGTCGCCCAGTTTTTGAATATCTTTTTTTTTTTGTAATGTAACAAATGTCTTAATTTGTTGAAGGAAATTTATTTGCCACAAGGAAAAAAAGCCGCAAATGGGATAGGAGTGGAGTTTTTATTGACCAGCCAAAAATGGCAAATAGCAAAATGCTGGGCAAAAAACTGTAATTAATACGCCGTAAAAATACCGTTGTACCGTTGCAATTGAACAAATGTGGCGCATTTTTTAACGGTTGACAGGAGGCCAACACGGTGGATATGGATACCGTTAATAGAGCGGACATAAATTGCATGAAAAAAGTAGGAAATAAGAAAAAAAATAGTTTCAAATAAATAAACAAGGGAGCACAAAATTGAGACAATAAAACAGAATTAAAGAAATCTGCAAGCCGTTAAAGGCAACGCAAACGAAGGCAGCCACAAGGTTAAGCGAATGCAAGCATATAATTCAAAA